GCTCCACTTCCACTGGGGCAGCCCGGCTGGGAACGGCTCCGAGCACACCCTCGATGGGCGCCAGCTCCCCATGGAGGTACGAGAAAAACCCCCCAGCACGTTCTGGGCTGCCCAAGCCCTTGGGGAGGTGGGAAGGGGAGGTGCTGGGGCACCCCAAGGCTGTTGTGCAGCAGGTGAAGGGACTCTGTGACTCTGCATTGGTGGCATCAACAGTGCTCCTGCACAGGCACCTGGCTGGTGAAAAAGCAGCTGAAGTGAGACTCGAGGTGTTTCTTTACCATGCATGGGCCAAGCTGCTTCATCCAAGGCACTCAGTGGGGTTTGGGGGGCTCTGTGCCCTGCTGGGGTCACACACTGAGCTAGTGAATGCAAGTGAGAGCAAGCAGGAGCCTGCTGTGCTAAGCACATTGGGATCCTTCTGGATGAAAGAGGCTCTGCGCCTCTAAAATATTCATTATCTGCCAGAGGAAAGCAGAATTTATGTTCTGTCTCTGGCGAGCACCCCGGGACTGCTGGCCCCCTTTTGCACTCCCTTCAAAGGATTCTTGCTTCACTGGGGTGCTTTGATCCTTCAAGCACCCACCCCACAGAAGTGCCAATAGGACCAGAAGGGAGAGGCTGGCTCAGAGTCTGGCCAAGCTGGCTGGAAGGATCCATAGCAGAACGTCCTGCTGCCAGGGTGTTGGCTGGGGGCAGCTGTGCACACCTGACTCCTCTGTGCTCTCCTCAGATGCACATTGTCCACATGAATGCCAAGTACCAGACACTGGCAGAGGCCAAGGGGCATCCCAATGGGCTGGCTGTCCTCGGCTTCTTCTTCCAGGTGGGTCTGCAGGGGCCCCCTAGAAACCGGGTGCTGGTGGTGCAGCTGGGTGAGCATTGTATGGGTGTCCTGGAGGAGTGGGAAGGGACAGGACACAGGAAGGCTGGGTCAAGGCCAGGAGAGGCTGGGGAACCCACTGGCTGCAAGGGAACCTGCCTGGGAACCTTCCCCACTGCCCTGCAGCAGGGGAGGCTGCCTCTGCCTGTGGCTGCTTGGCAGGACAGGATGACCCAGCTCTGCCCTGCTCGGGCTCTGCCTGACTTCAACCACTTACTCTCCCCGGACACAGGTCTCTGAAACCACTAACACCAACTACAACACCATCGTGGCAGGGCTGAGGAATGTCTCCCATGCAGGTGAGTCACCTCCTCATCAGGGCAGGGCAGCAAAGGGGAGACCCTGCAGTGGGAGGGCAGGGATGCACCCCAGTGGATTGGATGGGGGACCCTGCCATTCTCTGAGCTCATCTGGGTTCATCTTCTGAGGGGAAATTGATGGGGGCGGCCCTGCCGTCCCCACCACATCCCTGGCAGGGACAGGCTGAGTGTCCCTGTGTTGCCCCACAGGGGACTCCGTGGATTTGGCCTCCACGTTCCGCCTGAGCACGCTGCTGCCGCCTGCCGCCCGCCT